TTAGCGGATAAAAATTATCCGTTTAAAGTCGAGAAGCGCTATAAAAGTGTAGTTAAGGTAGCGCCTCAGAAACGGGCCACCTATTACCACCACCATCCCCGCCTCCTCATTTGCCTCAAACGCCCTACAATAATTATAATTGATAAAGTAACCGAGGGGACCGCGAGGAACTTTCGAGAAATTAAACTTCTTCTTCCCTACTAGATCGGCTTCAGTTTAATCCAGGAACTCTCTCTTCGTCTCGATTGTTATAATATTTTCTGTTTTTATTTTTTTCATTTTTTATTTGTTTCTTTTGCTTGGACAATTTTTTTTTGCATTTTTATCGTTGAATTTAAATCTTTATTATTAAATTATGGCAATACTGATAGGAATAATTAAATGATTTAATTAATATATTGCGAAATTTCTTAAATCTTTGAAAATCTAGAGAAAGTAATTAATTAATTAAAAAAGGGAATTAAAAAATTGCCACGATCGTAAGAAACGATCTCTCTCAAATGATTTTTTCTCAAATTGGAAAACATTGTTATAGTACCGCGCAATCGAATTCCGTTCTAGTGATATTTTTTACTATCAAGATGGAAAAAGTCACCAAAAAGGTTATCGATAGTGCAAAGGATAAATTTCCACTATCTAGTGGAATTGAAAGAAATTTGACGTCGAAGAAGGATGGTAAGGCCAATGATCGCAAAGCTTTCGATCACTTTTACTCTTTAAGGGAAAAAAAAGTAGAAATGGACGAACACCCGCGTCTTCGTATGCATAGAAAAAAAAAAACCTAATATTTATGAGCAAACTGATCGGTCTCAGGTCTCCACTCGCAGATCGGATCTCACTAAATCACCGTTGGTATACGCCTAGGAAGGAACTAGTCGTTCCCTCGTCCCTTTTACGGGCGGAAGACAGACCGTAAGGTCCAGTATGTTTCGTACAACGACCAAGGACGAGGAATAAAGGAAAGGGAATATCGATCGAACGGGAACAGAGGCGAACGATATCTGTGCTTTCTTTTAGTTTCTTTGGAAATTATATATGAGTTTATAAACATGATTAATAAATTAATTTTTATACAACTAAAACAAGTTATCTAGAGAGATAATTGAATGTGATATAATATAGTGTGAGAAATTCAATGAAGTATTAATTTAGTAATTTTATGCTATTATATAAAATAAAAATCATTGTTACTAGAATATTACTAGATATGTTAAATTATCAACGTGATAATGATCGATTCGTTATGATAGATTTGTTTCTTAAAGAAGAATGAACGCTTTCTAAGGCGGAGAAAGCATGAAGTATTCGCAAACGAAGTTCAGAATCATGTACGTGGTCATCGAGGAGGTAGAAGAAGGGTAGTTTGATCTGATTAGTGAGTATCGATTCTGTTTGACGACCCAACTGTCCGACTGGGTCAGGGTAGTATTCTTCAGGGTCATTACACTATCTGTATTAACATAATGTCGTGATTTCATGGAAATATCATAAAAATTGTGACAGAAAGTTTTTACTTCTTCATTTATTCTTCAAAAATTCTCAAAACGAGATTTTTTTACGTTTTCTAAATTTTTAAAATGTAATTATTTTCTACATTTTTCTAAATTTTCGCTTTTAAGTCGTTTAACTATCGTTACAAAGTTATATTTTTCAACTTCGTGTCAATTATAATAAAATTGTGATTATCGATTATCGATATCTTATTGATAATTTTCAATATATCGATAATATATTGAAATATCGTTAACGAATAGAAAGAGTTCCAATTTTTAATCGAAATTATTATTATTAAAACACTTCAAAATATTGTTTGTAATAAATTTCAAAATAAATTAATTTTATCGAAAAATTATATTGTAATCTTCTATTGAATGTATTATCGACATCTTAACGATATATAAAATTGAAAACTCGATGAAATATGGTTAATCCATAATAATAATCGTTAACAACATTTTTGATAATAAATTTGAATAAGAAGAAACAGAAATTTTACTTATTTTCATTTATTATGAATATCTTAACAATATTATCGATATATCGAATCATCGATAATCATTCTGAATTATAATTCAACGCTAAATAATAGTAGTAAATATTACTAATAAAATCGACATTAAAAACGAATTAAAGATCTAAGACCAAAAACAAAAAATATCGAAATGTCAAAGAGACGAACAAATTACTCGGTCGGTCGGAAACATCGTGAATTTCCATGGCAGCATTGGACGCGACCATTGAACACGGATCGTCGATCGAGTCGTCTACGAAGAGAGTGGGTCAAGGTGGCCGTCTTCGTGATCTCCTTAGTTCCGCGTTCTACTGGCGGGTTTCGTTCATTCGTTTATTCGGTGAATATGGATAGTGTGTGCATCGACATGTATACGCGTGTTCCTTCACTTATATGTATGTGCGACACGATTGTATGTAGGTACGGATATAACCTATGTGCCGCGTCATCAACCACTGCGAACCTACACCGTCATCAGAAGCGAAAGATGCTGGCGTCGCCAAATCTTCCCTTTCTCCACCTTCTATACGCGGCGAGAGTAAACGTGACGTCACTAGCTTAAAGCTGCTAGACGAAATGAGAAGAACCGATTGATTCGTCCTTTTCGTTTCGTTTACCTTCTTATTCTCCTTATTTGAAAGTTATTTGTATAAGTGATAAAGAATCTTGGATTCAATGAAGGAATGAATTATTATTGGTTATCATTGGTCAATTATACTGATGGCTGCATATATTCTTGAAGCATTTTGAAGGAATTGTTATTTTTGTGGTCTTTTCTTAGATCTTGATTCGAAGTGCCTAACCTAAGTATTGTGAGTGAGCTGAATCTAACTTAACCTAAATACAGATTCCAATGAAGTTGCACAAAAATTATTTTGATTTAATTTTGATGATTTTTAAATGTATCATAGAAGATAACTTTTTCTCTTAGTTTTTGAGATATTACAGAAAAAAATTATTATTATAGATATACATCTATGACCGCGTATTATATCTTTATGCATTGTTATATATAATCAATGAAATGACATCATACCATCAACATAGCAATGCAAACATAAGAATAATTTTGATACTATCATACGTGTGTGGTCTGTGATAATTTATAATCGTGATATCAATCCCTCGAAAGAAATATGATTAATAGCTGTAAACAAGATGTAAGAAAACAATTCATTGTACACTGGAAACATTTTAACATCTCCTACTGCATTCAAGTTTTCAATGTTCTTAAATTATGATATAGAACATTTACTTTGAATTTACATTGAAAATCAAGGATTTTATCCATTTTTTATTCATTTTCCATTTATTTTAACCACTTGATGATCATTCCACATTATTTTTTTATATGATTGATAATAATGTATAATCTAATCTACAAATAACCTTTTGACGAGATGAAGCGCGTTATTCCAAATGCAAATCGTTAATTCTCAATTTTTCAAAATTAAAAAAACGCAAATTAATTTGATTAATATATTTTCCAGGAAAAATTCGAAACCTTTTTATATAAGATCCGAGACTCGTATACACACTTGCCACTGTTTATCTAAAATTTACCGACACACAAAAGGTAGGTGAACGAGATGGTGCACGTACAGAACAGAATCGTTACGTACTTACATTACATACAACCACAGATGGAAGAGGCAGCAACGTCCACGTCACTCGGTAAGGGGGTGTCATAGAGGAAAGCCGGCACAAGGGGTGACGACGGTAGATAGAGATAGGCCACGATGCCCGCGTGACTTGACAATAAAGCTCATCTCACCTCCAACTCGTTCTGCAGCCTCCTTTTTCACTTCCCTTCTTCACTCTCGCTCGTCCTTCGTGCCACGATTCACTTCCCCGCTACACACTTGATCCATCTGCTTCATTCGATACCCGTACGATGTAGAATCTACCTATGAGCTTCATTCGCCTACACACTTACATTCTTTTTTTTTTTTTTAAGGTATCGCTTGCCAATTGGCTGGGTGCTCGAAACGTTTCATAATGCGTTCGAACGGAGTTATAAAACGAGCGAAACTCGAGCCTGCAACCGCTCTACGGCTCTCTTATCTTTTCTTTTCGAAACGATGCCAGATGCACATGTATATACGTGAATGTTGACACGTTCGGTCAACTCATCTTTCCTTTCTTTCTTAATAGAAGAAATCAACAAAAATTAAAAAGGATTTGAAAGACGAATATAGATGATAATTTAAAAATGGTCAAGAAGAAGAAGAAGAAGAAGATAGAGATTATTAAAAAATTAGACAATTGCTCACATAATTGAATTGACGATTTTGGATGTATTTGAAGTTGTAAAGCTATATACTATTTCTGCGAAATAGATATTATAATATTAATAGATACTACTCATATCACTATAAGTTTTTAATAATATGAATATATTTGCAGAATTCTTGAAAATTATTCTTGAGATATTTTTTTATATAATAAAGTTCGTCGAATAAAAATTATGTCAAATTATTTTCAATGCAGAGGAATATTTGCAAAGAATTTTCAAAAGGAAAGTTTTAATCTTAAATATATCATCTTAAATATATTCTCTAAAGATTGTTCTTGAAAGTTATAATTTGTTAATAATTCAATGGATTTACGTAATAATAATACAATGCATTTATGAAAAATAAATTTGGAGAGTTTTACTATCAATTGTATTCATACAAACATTATGATATAAATTCACATCTATCCTCGATAATCGATTAAACGAATAATAGCATTATTACGAGTTGTTTCAATGCTAACAACGAGAATGAAACACCAGTAGAAGGTAGCGATCAGTCAATCTGTCAGTGTGACGAGCGACGTCTGTTCAGAGTTGGCGAGGGTCGAAGACAAGCCCATTGTCAACCGACCCCTGCGGACAAGTTAGTTAAATCCTCGTTAGAACTTTATCCACCTTCCTGCTTGACACCTATTGCAAACGTTACTGTAATTTGATTTTTCGTATTTTCAGATATATTTCTATAATAATTATAAGTATTTTATAAGTATTATAAAAATTATTTGACAAATTTAAGATATTTAAAATTAGAATTAAAATGATATAATAAATTATTTTATTATATATATATTTTATTATATATATAGTTTGTTCATCTGATATTATTTTGAAAAAAGACAAGTGTTTCACGTTTTTCTTGTTTTTTATATATCAAGTTTTATAAATTAAAATGTTAAGCAGTTAAAATATTAAAAAATATATAATTTTTAAAAAAACATTTTTTATGTGTTCGAAAAATCTACAATTCATATTTTATATATTTTAATATATTTCTTTTTTATAGTTCTAATGTTAAAATAATTTTTTCCAAAAATATCTATATCTTTTCATTAAAATAAAAAATTTAAAATCGTTTTAGTATATTTTATAATTCTAGAATTAAAATAGTTCAATTAAAGCAAAAGGACTTTTTTTGGACAAATTGAATTAAAAAAAAAACATTAAAAAGACGTTAAACATTATACAATTATATAATATGAATATTATACAATTGTATAAAAAACGCTAATGATATTTACGATCTGCCAATTAATTATACGTTATTAATTCTCGTGTAGACTTTTCTATATTTCTGAATATTCGAGATTATATATATCCGCCGAATTATTCGTGCTCGTAATTTCACGGATACGTATGTGTGTGTGTATACACGGGGCACGATCTTATGAACCGTTCTATTCCACGCTACGGGTTTCACCGAAAGAGGTGAACGTTTTGTTTACCAACGTTCCATCTCGATGGATTCATCGTGGAACGGCGGTGTCAGCAGAAACGGCGTTGCAAATAAAGTGAGGGAAGCCGAGAACGACGAGACTCTACGTCCATTCGCGGCTTTTGTGAAAACGCGTGCCAATGTTTCTCATTTTCGAAAATAGAACATGTCAAAATGATAAATCTCGTGTTTGTAATTGTTCAATGTTACAAGTTTGATCATTGATCTTAATTAAAATTTAGATATTTTAAAAGAATTAGATTAATAAAAGGAAAAGCTAAAAAGAAATTTTAATTTTAGGTTAGATTAATTCAATTTATCTTGTTTTAAAATTAGTCGAATTATTTCAATTTTATTATGTTATATTATATATTATAATTATGTTATATAAAGATTAATAAAGAAAATCAGCGAAAGAAAGAAAAGAATAAAGATTTTAATTTTAATTTTGTTATTCAATTTTGAATTATTTCAATTATTTTCTTTTCCAGTAATTTTAATGCAAATATCGAAATTAGAAATGAAAAGAAAAAAAATTTAATTTTTTTAAATTAAACGAAAAGAAATTAAAAAATATATTATCTGGAAGGTATGAAAAATCACGAAGTTTTAATTCGCTCGATCGTCACGTTGATTATATAGTAATTCGAAACTGATACTTGCACATGTTGCAAATATTTGTTGGTCAAAGTTACGGGAAGGTTAATGAGAATGGCAAAGAAAGAGATAGACAAAAGAAGGTTTGTTGGTGCATAAAAGAATGAAGGGGATTCCATACCCAATGCTCGTGTCTGCCTCTCAAATAAAATGCTGAGCCTGCACATTGCACGTTACACCTAGAATCATGCGAAATGCGGACCGCCGTTAACCAGAATTTTCCTTCCACAATTTCTTTCTTCATCATCTTTTCTTTTCTTTCTTCGCTTTAATTAAGAGCAATATTATTCTTCTATTTCTCAAAAAAAATATTATTAATTTTTATCAAAATTAGGAATCTTGTAACAATATTTATTTTTGACAATTTTTAGGTTAGGTTTTAATAAACCTTTTTGAATAAAAACTTGAATTTTTTATATTTTTAATGTATAATGAAAATTTTTCTATTTTTTAATAAATTATCTCAATGACTATTCGATTATATTTTTACAATGAAGATTATTTTTCATCATCTAAAATATAAGATGTCTAAAGGATAGGATACGATTAGAGAATATACGGGTGAAAAAGATAGGCAGATATATCTGAAACTGCCGATATCGACATTTATTTATAATAAGAAGTATAATAATTATTTTATATACACATGAAAAGATGTAACGGGAATTAAAACATTCTTAAGTCGAATTGGAAACATTCTCGGTCGATAGAAACGACCTAAAATAATCCAATCACGATAAAACAATAATATAGTACTTCATATGTCATCTGATATGACAGTGGCGTAATTTTTGTATCAAATAAATATCTTATCATTTTTACACTCATACAATTACTAAATTAAACAAAAAGATGAATGTTTTGTTTATCTATAAAATTTTATTTTTTAAAAATTTTCATTTTTAATAATTTACTATCGCGTAGTTATTATATATCACTAAATAATCATTTAAAAATTTCGCACCAAAATTTACGCCGCTGTTCAACGCAAAAAAATATAACGTAGCCCCCTTTTCTTTTCTAAAGAACCCCTTAAAAAAAAATCTAAAATTTGGCCAATAATTTATAGAGCTACCGTATACAGATCAATTTGTGCCATAAGTACTAAAATCGATATCACACGTAATGAAAATGTATCAGCACGCGTTCTTATTTTTTTATCATCTTGAGATCCATCTGGCTTCCGATGTTCGTCATTTCGAATCTGATCGAAAACGGATAATTATTAATCCATTCGCGCTATACGTGATCATAATACGTGAACATTAATATAATAGAAGCCAGAAACAAATTTTATCTTTTTATTTGGACAATATCATCTTTAGTACGCGATTCGAGTCGGATTTTGCATCGCAAAACGACAAAACGAAACAAAAATCAGCATCTAATTTGTAAGAGTTAGTTATCGCGATAAAAATAAAGAAGAAACAAATATAAACGATATTCATTGGCACAAAAATGTACAATGAGTTCATACTATCGTCTATTTCACCGATTAATCATTGAAGTACGAGCCGCAATATTTGGTAGGTAAGTGAAAACACGCTTACACCGATAGATTTGTTGTTTAATTAGCGTTTTCATTGACTACTAGATGGCAATAAGCTGACCGAATCTAAAATGATCAGGCCACAAAAATTAAGCAATTATGTCCAACGAAAGATTTGACGATTTTTTAGATAGATTTATATGGTTATTTGAAAGTTTCTGTATAAATTCTGTATTCTGTATAAATTTGTAAAATAATTGTCCTAATAATAAGATGTATAATTTTGATTTCATCACAATAAACAATAGTTTCAAAAAATTATGTTACATACTCCACACACATAACTATTCAAAATGAATAAACAAAGAGAAAGAAGGAACAATAAAAAAAAAATAATGAGTGAAATGAAATATTAAGCTAATGCTGTCCACTTTATTTTCGCGTATATTTCTATCGCTCCATGTTTCATCTTCTGTTTAATAAAAAAAATAAAAAAAAAAAGTAAGTCATACTAAATCTCTCTTTGAATCGTCTTTTTCTTATAATAACAACGCGTGAAGAGGATTAGAATATATAAGGCGTTTTATAAGCATTGTTTTAAAATATTTGTCATTTACATAAAAAACTAAGCAGTTTCTAGAAATTAAAACATCAACGAAAATATCGTTGAATGTATTGTATTTGACACAATGAATAACTCTTGATTGGTATCACAGGTAATTAACACGATTTAGATTAGGTTATTTAATTTTAGGGCATTTAACTTTGTATTAAATATTTTTTTAATATTTAATATTTATTTTGTATTAAATATTTCACTATATCCTCAAAATTCATTTCTATATAAATCTAAGAAGTTTTTTTTTTTAGCAAAAAAATTATGCATGCCCATTTTTATTTAAGTATCTTATATATTTATTAAAATTTTATTTATAAAAAATAAAAATATATTTTTAATCGATAACATAATCTAATTTTAATGATACTCTATTTTTCTAAACCCAAATAATTGAATCCAAAACAATAAAAAATCTTGATGTATTATTGTAAAATTATATATATATTGAAAAGGTTAAATAACATAACCTAAATTGTCGCATTCCTATGATCCAGTACCACTAGTTCAAGATTAATATTATTAATACCAAAAATAATAAAAAATAACAAATAGCAACGAAGATTATTCAAATCAATTATTCGCGACGAAACGTATCAAAGAAATTATATTATAATTATAAATTAAATAACAATCAATAAAATGCTAAACCTCTTGAACGGTAGATTTTCGAACTTTATTCTTACTTCGTGTTTTTGCTGCTCTACAACAAAGTAAATACGATTCACTTCTATTTTTCTTCTGTTTATTCCCTTTTTGGTACAGTATTTGGTAAAGACGTCCACCACGAGCAATATATTCATATATCTATGAGAATAGAACTAATTATTTTTAATCTAATGATACCTTAGTTGCGTTGGTAACTCCATACGCGATTTACAAAGTCGATTTAACAGTCAAGGCTCTTTTTTTTGCCGTAGCTCTTAACAAATCTATACATATACATAAGAAAAAAATATGGAAGAACTAAACGCTATATACACATAGACGAGATTAAAGATGTGCTTAAGACTTCAGTCACAGATCGAAAGAAAATAAGAAACGCACATTTCTCGAAGTGTATACCCGGTTGCTTGTCTGGTCTTTCTTTTTTTTCAACCCACGCGCACAGGTATGTCACTGTGAACAAAATTTTGGAAAATGATCATCTTTACGGTTTTTCTTCCCCGAAAAATATAATATTTATAATAATTATTTTAATTCGTTTATTTGGAGAAAAATTATAAAACATTTTGCGAAAATTATATCTAATAAAGAATAAATGAAACTTAAAAAATTTTTAAATTCGAATTTTTTTTCGTAATAATTATTAATTATCAAAATTTTGATCAAAATTATTTATGAAAAGATTATAAATATAGCTATTATGAGATGTAAAGCTGAAAGGATTTTCATCATGATACGAGGATTTACGCAGGATTACGAGTTGATCCGATAGAAAATCTAAACGACAGCTTTAATCCCATTCGAACAATCACATTATATTCTTCTTGACAAAAATATTTAACAATAAGATATAAAGCATAAAAATTCTATCGTGTAACTTAAAATATAAATAGAATATTTGAAATAATATAAAATAAAAGTTACTACTATGAAATGTTACTACTATAAAATTAAGCATTAAATATTTCATTAAAAATAAGCAATAAAAAACTTTACAAATACTCCATTTTTTAAATATTACTATAGAAATTCAAGAAACTTCAAGCATTATAATTGTAAATCGATGATTTTTATTAAAAACATATAAAAGAACGAATTCCGAATAACGAAAAAAAATTTCTACTTGAAATAAAAAAAAATATATTTATTATATCTATATTATAAGAAAATATAAAATTAAATATAAGAAAAATATTATTTTTTACTTACCGATCAAGAATCTCGCGATTACACGATGGATATCTCTTCAGGTCCAACAAGCGCCTCCTCGGCGCTGTCGATGTCACAGATAGACTTCTGGACTGGCAGGCGCCGGTTGATGTTGTTGA